CTTTTGACGTCTAATTGTTCTCCTAATCTTTTTTTTTCTTTTTTTTTTTGAGACAGAGTCTTGTTCTGTCATCCAGGCTGGAGGGCAGTGGTGTGATCTCGGCTCACTGCAACCTCTGCCCTCTGTCTCCTAGGTTGAAACAATTCTCATGCCTCAGCCATCCAAGTGGCTGGGATTACAGGCGTGCACCACCACACCTGGCTAATTTTTTGTGTTTTTAGTAGAGAAGGGGTTTCACCATGTTGCCCAGGCTGGTCTCGAACTCCTGACCTCAAGTGATCTGCCTGCCTCTGTCTCCCAAAGTGCTAGGATTAAAGGTGTGAGCCACTGTGCCCAGCCCTTCTCCTAACCTTTAATTACCGACCCCAGCTAAACTATTCTCTCCTTTTTGCCTATGTCCTGTTTCCTAAAAATCTAAGCTCAATCACCATGTCCTAGTGGCCACCATCCCTTGCCTTCAGGGACTCAATGTATCTAGACATTTATGACATGACCTGATTGATGTATCACCTCACAAGATAATCAGTTGTATGAGGGAAGGAACAGGGTTTGTTAACATTCAGTTCTGTACTCAATGCAGAGTCTGAGCAAAACAAATCTACCAAATAAAAAGATAAGAGTGTTTTGGCCAGGCGTTATGGCTCTTGCCTATAATCCCAGCACTGGGAGGCTACAGTAAATGGATCACCTGAGCCTAGGAGTTCGAGACCAGCCTGGACAACGTAGCAAAACTCTAATACAAAAATTAGCCAATCATGGTGGCGTGCACCTGTAGTACTACTATAGTACTACGGCTACTTGGGAGGCTGAGCTGGGAAGATCACCTGAGCCCAGGGAGGTTGAGGCTGCAGTGAACTGTGATTGTACCACGCACTCCAGCTTGAGTAATATAATGAGACTCTGTCTCTCCCTGCAAAAAGTGGTGGTGGTGTTTTTTTTTGAGATGGGATCTCATACAGTTGCCCAGCCTGTAGTACAGTAGCTTGAACTCCTGGGCTCAAGTGATCCTTCCACCTCAGCCTCCCTAGTAGCTGGGATTACAGGCACACACCACTGTGACCAGCTAATTAAAAAAAATTTTAAGAGACAGATCTTGGTATGGTACTCAAACTAGAAAAGTGTGTTTCTTTTTTTTTTCTTTTTGAGACAGAGTCTCATTCTGTCCCCCAGGTTGGAGTGCAGTGGTGCGATCTCGGTTCACTGCAACCTCTGCCTCCCAGGTTCAAGCAATTCTCCTGCCTTGGCCTCCCGAGTAGCTGGGATTACAAGTGTGCACCACCACGCCCAGCTAATTTTTTTTTTTTTTTTTTGAGACTGAGTCTCGCTCTGTTGCCCAGGCTGGAGTGCAGTGGCACGATCTCGGCTCACTGCAAGCTCCTCCTCCTGGTTTCACGCCATTCTCCTGCCTCAGCCTCCCAAGTAGCTGGGACTACAGGAGCCCGCCACCATGCCCGGCTAATATTTTATATTTTTTAGTAGAGATGGGGTTTCACCATGTTAGCCAGGATGGTCTCAATCTCCTGACCTCGTGATCCGCCTGCCTCGGCCTCCCAAAATGCTGGGGTTACAGGTGTGAGCCATCGGGCCCAGCCAATTTTTGTATTTTTAATAGAGACGGGGTTTCATCATATTGGTCAGGCAGGTCTTGAACTCCTGACCTCATGATTTGCCCGCCTCGGCCTCCCAAAGTGCTGGGATTACAGGCATGAGCCACTGTGCCCGGCCGAGAGTGTTTCTTAAATCTGAGATACTTGCTGACTCAGACCCATGTGAAGGACCTATCTTCCCAAGGACAGGATGGACTGGCCCACTGTACTCACCGATCATTTCAAGCAGATCCTTTGTGACCTCTTGGCTAGAATTGTTGAGTGCCATGTTTGAGTCAGCCTTCAAATCTCTCTCCGTATCTTTCCTGCAGCCCCCAGGTTGGGGGGAAGAAAAGGTGGGGAATTAGATTCTCTTTCAAGAAAATATTGAAGGGAAACTCAGTTTTAGATAATCTCAAAGACAAAAACTTACTGGTGATCTTGTCATTTATGCTTTGATTAGAGGACAATTGGAAACTGCTACGTCACTGGAGAAACTAACAGCTTTACCATAATAACTCACATGACTGTATTACAGACTCACACGACTGTATCAGACTGTATTAATTTTTTTTCTTTTTTAGAGACAGGGTTTAGCCATGTTGCCCAGGCTGGTCTCGAACTCCTGGGCACAGACGATCCACTTACCTCGGTCTCCCAAAGTGCTGGGAATATAGGCACGAGCCACCTCACCCAGCCTGCATTTGTTTGTTTCATTTATTTATTTATTTTTATTATTTTATTTTATTTTTTTGAGACGAAGTCTCACTCTTGTCCCCCAAGCTGGAGTGCAATGGCGCAATCACAGCTCACTGCAACCTCTGCCTCCCGGGTTCAAGCGATTCTTCTGCCTCAGTCTCTGGAGTAGCTGGGATTACAGGCGGCCACCACCACGCCCAGCTTTTTGTATTTTTAATAGAGACGGGGTTTCATCATATTGGTCAGGCAGGTTCCTGACCTCAGGTGAGCCATCCGCCTCAGCCTCCCAAAGTGCTGGGATTCAGGCGTGAGCCACTATGCCCAGCATTTTTTTTTTTTTTTTTTTTAGATGGAGTCTTGCTGTTACCCAGGCTGGGGTGCCGTGGCAAGATCTCAGCTCACTGCAATCTCTGCCTCCTGGGTTCAAGCAATTCTCCTGCCCCGGCCTCCCGAGTAGCTGGGATTATAGATGCGCGCCACCACGTTCGGCTACTGTTTGTGTTTTTAGTAGAGACAGGGTTTCACCAGACCTCAAGCGAGCCACCCACCTCAGCCTCCCAGTGCTGAGATTACAGGCGTGCCACCACACCCAATAAGGCCTGCACTGCTTATGAGTACCAATTTATTTGTGGAGTTGAAAGGAAAAAAATTTTTTGTGGAGCTGAATGAATTAAATGGCCTCTTTATTCCCTTCCTATGAAGCAGCCAAGATGGCAGAACTTTGAAGCTTCATCTCTTATGTTCATCCCTTCTCCAAGTCAAGCTGTCTGGGACCAGGCAATTTCAAGTTACTTGGGAGAAGAAAAAGTCTAGAGGAGACCTGGTGATGGTCCAAAACACTCTGGGGTAGTTGGGGAGCAGAGGCAAAGATAAGCCAGGAAGTAGGGCCCAGACTTCAATTCAGCCTCTCCCTAATGTGGGCAAAGGAGGGTATCAAAGGCCCCAGTGTCCAGATTCAAACACAGAAGTTAAGATGGAATTAGACTTTTGTTTCTGCAACTTAAAAAATAAGGTTATTTTAAACACCAGGTTATTTTACATCCACTACCCCTTTGGGTACTACAAAGTGGTTTCCATGACTGGTTTGACATCAACGATTGACAACTAGCCCCTCAACTGGAACACATACACAAAATATAACTGTTTCCTAGGCCAGATTCTGAAGAATGTCTATGAACTCCCCAAATGCAGTCACAGAGTTGCCAAGAGGAGGTAAGAGCGCTGTCATGAACTAAATCTAGGATCTTCAACAATTTTTTCAAAAACAAGAATCCCCTTAATTGTAGCTGTTAAGCTATCAAAATCAGAATCACCTTAAATTTTCTTTTCTCCAGTTTTCCCCCTCTCTTGCAGTTCTCCAAGACTCTCTTTCAGATGCCAAAATGGAGGAATGCATCAATACATTTTCCTTGCTGGTCAGAGGTTTTCTCTCCGGGCACAGAGCATGTGGTTTTGCATTTACCGGGGCATGGTTTGTTGCAAAGGCAGGGTTCTCATTCTCAGGAGCACATGGGACAGCAGCAAAAGGAACAGCAGAGGAGCAGGCTGCCAGAGGATGTCTTCTGCAGAGGAGTCTGTGCACGGGCAGCGAGGAGGAGAGCGGCGCAGCGCTCAGTTCCAGCCTCCGCTGGCCTGTGCACTCCTGGGAATAACTAACTCCTTCAAAGGCCCGGTCAATGGCTGCAGTCAGTTCCTTTCTGCATCTTCTTAATTTTTCAGACATTTCTCCTAAAAGCGACCATGTCTTTATGTAATGCATTGGAAATGCACAGGGCAACACAATAATGTTACAAATAAGGCTGCAAACTACCCCTGAAAGGCCACGATTTCCGGGAGCTTGGCCCTAGCTACAGCAAGACCCACAACCCTCGGGCTTTCCTCCTGGAGTAGGCGGTTCTCGGCTATCGCGGAGGAACCCGCGATCTGCCAGAAGCCCCAAGGACGCCCCGCCCCACTTCCCACAGCTTCCTGGCCCGCCCCGCTACTGCCTCTCGCCCCACCGCGGCTCCCAGGCCGCCCGGCCGTACCCCGCACCCCGCCCTCCGACAGGTCGCAGCCACGTCCTTGTCTTCACCCGCAGCGCAGTGACGCCTACCCTGCCAACGGTCATCGCATGCGCGCGCCCCGCGCCCCCACGGATTAGGTTAAAGGTCAAACAAAAAAGCCCAGACCCGTACGTCCGGTTCCTTAAGGCCTTGTGGCCCCACACGCAGCAGCTGGCCCCTCGGTGGGAGTGGGGACGGGTCTTTCGACCGGGGTCCCGGTAAGAGTCTTGGCAGGGATGAGGAAAGAACCTGTTCTAGAAAGCATCTGGGTAACACCAAAATGTATTACTACCCTAAATCGTCATGAACTGGAGCCCTTTCCAGGCTGACAACTCCCACAAAGATTTCTGTTCTCAAGCCAACATGGAAACAACTGGATGGGACACAGCACCAGGCAGTTTTATGTACTGACTTCAAGTGTTACCTAATAAAAAGTGTGTTATCTAATAAAAGTTCCACGCAGCATTTGACCGTCTTAATTCATCTAGGGTAGCAGGGGATGTAACATAACTGCTGGGTTCCACAGGAGGTTGAGAGGCCAGGATCCCCAACACTAAATATCTTCATTTCCTTAGCGGGGAGAAAGCTGGAAATTACAAGATGACTCAACGGAGAAATGGACTTCAGTGGGTAACTTTCAAAAAATTATAAACCCGTATCAGTGCACATAGCGAGGGAAAGGGGAGTTTACTTGAGGCTTGGGTTACTGTGAGCAGACTACTTGGGGTGACTAGTATCAGCATCAGAACCAGAAATCCAGGCACTCAGGGCAGCCCTGCAGGTGGGGTGGGTCTCCAGGCTGCTCCATACTCAGCGCGTGTGTTTCTCTCCATTCTTTGGGATCCATCAGACATACTCCATTGTGTACCCCCATCCCACCCCCTTTTCAGCTTCACAGGTTTCACAGAAATTTCCTACCACCTGTTTAAAAATAAAAATAATTCAGCCTCTTGACATAGCTTCTTCTAGGTAAACGGTCTTTTTTTTTTTTCCCCCCTTCTGCTCATAAAAGAAGGGTATTTCCTTGTCTGGTTTTTGGACAGAACACTAGCAGTCTGCAGAGTGTCAAAGATGTTCTCCTGGGGGATTGCGCTGGTGCTGCAGGGTGGCAGGATCGTGGAGTCAGCATCAGTTGGTGTCCATGCTGCAAGCCTCATCATCCCCCATGCCCTGCTGACAGCTGCTTGGTCGTGTCCCTCCATCAGAGGAACCAGAACTGCTGAGTGAAGGCGTCTTATAAAATTCATCATCTCGACGCTGGTAAAATAGCACATAAGCTGCTTTAGTCTAAAATACAAGAGGGGGAAAGGCCATTCAGTGGTTGGAAAAAGCACCCATTTTCCCCAGCTTTTCTCTAGTTGTCCAAAACTCTCAAAGATCTGCCATATCCACACAGAGGAGACCCTTCCAGCTCTGCCAGGGAGCAGGGAATGGAAGGAGCCCTGTGCAGAGAACTCTGAAGTGAGCTGAGCATCTCATTTATGAAGGTCCCTGAAGGAATGCCAGCCAGCTCTGTCACACCTAGCTCCCACTGTCACATCAGGATGATGAAATAACCAACTAGCCTGACAGAGGCTCTTCCCAGCTTTAATCCATAAAGACATGAGGAAGAACCACATATCATGGCCTACTCACCACTATCTGATCCTCAGAGGCCAGGGACACGTTGCTATCATCAAAGTAATACCATTTCCCATTCAGTTTGTTCTTCGCATATGCAGTGTCTGCCAAGTTAACAAAGAAAATACTCTAGCGGTCTCCAGATAATTAATCTGGCTAGCTTATTAGGCATGCACTAAATAAACACAAAAATCCCCAAAACAAAACCCCTGAAATTAAAAATAGTTTACAGTGTGTGTCTTAACAACCAAAAAACAACTCACCTTCTTTTCTAATCTGTTCCTTCTCAAAAAGGATGAAAAGGCTAAAAATGGAGCTGTCAGGGACCAAGGTTTTAAACTATAATTTTGGGAAACTAATCCAAAAAATAGAGCTATTCAGTGCCAATCTTCAGGATGGCTATGTGCAATAATCTAAAACCAGGGAACCCGTAAAAGGAGCTGAAACTTCGAAGATTTAAGCAAAACAATAGCTCTCACAAGGACATGTCAAGTCAATCTCCCCCACTGCATCTAGGGAGGTGGCTACTAACATCAACAGAATGCTTAGTGCCTCTGGAGCCTGCAGAATAATCCCAGTTAGGGGAACATTGAGTGTTTGGGTTTGCAGAGCTGGGATGTGAACAATATACCTTAGTCTCTTGTCTCAAAAAAAAAAAAAAAAAGAAAAGAAAAATTTATCTTTCAAACTAGGAGTCCAGAGTCTGTGGTTGGGTAACAGTTTCCCACAATGATTTAAGCATTTCTCACAGACAATGCTCCCTGTCTCGATTTTAGACTATTCCCAAGCAGGATGTGTTTATTACAGCAATCCCAGCCCAGTTCCTGCTCCACCCAGACTCTCAGAAACCTCAGAATCCAATGGAGATCTGATTTCCAGTGTCATCTTACTGTGTGGCTTTAGGTAAGGGGTTCAACACTGCAGCCTCAGTTCCTCACTATAGCATTGACTACACAAAGTGGTGGTGAGGATCATGGGAAAAGGCAACAGAGAAGGTGTTCACGGCCAGTTCATACAGTCTGTGCTTGACACAATAGCAGCAATGGTGGCTTTCAATCTTCAAGTTCCAACTGTAGGCCCAATGTGTACCCTCACACAACCAGCCTAACCTCATGGATGAGAAAACTGAGGATGAGAAACTTGCCCAAATGGTATGTTTGTGTGCTAAAAATTAGCAAATAAAAATGAACACAGGCTGGTCACGGTGACTCACACCTGTAATCCCAACACTTTGGGAGGCCAAGGCAGGGTGGATCACTTGAGCCCAGGAGTTCAAGACCAGCCTGGGCAACATGGCAAAACCCCGTCTCTACTAAAAATACAAAAAATTAGCCAGGCATGGTGGCGGGCACCTGTAGTCCCAGCGACCTGGGAGGCTGAGGCAGGAGAATGGTATGAACCCAGAAGGAGGAGCCTGCAGTGAGCCAAGATCGTGCCACTGCATTCCAGCCTGGGCAACAGAGCGAGACTCAGTCCCAAAAAAAAAAAAAAAAAAAAAAAGCAAATCTTACAGAAATTTTGCAAAAAAGTAAAGCAAAGAGGAAAAAAGTAAAATTAACATTTTGGTGTCAATCCTTCCAGGCTCACACCCCTCGGCCCATCAGTTTCTTTGCTTGTTCGTTACCACAGTTGTGATAATACCTTTTGTAAGGATATAATGTTGTGTAGTTGTTTTCATTTAACATACCATCAGCATTTCCCCAGGTTAGTATTAATTTAATTTTTATTTTCTTTTTATCTTTTTTTTTTTTTTTGAGATGGAGTTTTTCTTGTTGCCCAGGCTGGAGTGCATGGCATGATCCGGCTCCATCACAAGCCTCCGCCTCCTGGGTCAAGTGATTCTCCCTGCCTCAGCCCTCCAAGTAGCTGGATTGACAGGCATGCACCAACCACGCCCAGCTAATTTTGTATTTTTAGTAGAGACCAGGTTTCTCCATGTTGGTCAGGTTGGTCTTGAACTCCTTGACCTCAGGTGATCCAACCTGCCTGACCTCCCAAAGTGCTGGGATTACAGCGTTGAGCCACCGCCGCCGGCCTACTTCTTATCTTTTTAAGAATAGGTCTGCTCTGTTGCTCAGACTTGAGTGCAGTGGCACATCAATGGCTCACTGCAGCCTCAACCTTCCAGGTCCAATGGATCCACCAGCCTCAGTCTCCCAAGTAGATGGCACTAACAGGGTGCCATCAACATCTAACTACATTTTTTTGTTTGTTTTTTTAGAGAGAGGATCTTGCATTTTTGGCCAGGCTGGTCTTGAACCTCTTGGTCCCAAGTGATTCTCCCGCCTTGGCCTCTCCAAAGTGTTGGGATATAGGCATGAGCCACCATGCCTGGCCTAGTCTTTAATTTTAATGTTTATGTACTTCTTCCATCAAGTAGATCAGACACTGTAATGCCAGTTGGTCACCAAAATGCCGTAACTTTTCAACTGCGTTTTAAACCAGGCGTGAGTATCTGTATGTATAACGCTTCTTCCCCAGTGTCAGTTATTTCGCTTAGGATACGATTCCTCGAGGTGGGTGTCACTGAATAAAGAATATGAAAATGAAAAAAAGAAGGCCGGGCGCGCGGTCGGCTCCAAGCCTGTAATCCAAGCACTTGGAGGCCCGAGACGGGTGAATCACGAGGTCAGGAGATCAAGACCATTCCTGGCGAAACACGTGAAACCCTCTCTACAAAAACAAAAACAAACAAAATACAAAAACTACAGGGCGCGACGATCGGCGCGCGGGCGCCGCCTGTTAGTCCGCAGCTACTCGGGAGGCTGAGCAGGAGAATGGCGTGAACCCGGAGCGGAGCTTTGCAGGAGCTGACAGATCTGGCCACTGCACGCCAGCCTGGGCGGCAGAGCGGACTCCGTCTCAAAAAAAAAAAAAAAAAGAAAATGAAAAAAAAGAACTTTAAAAAAAGAATTAAAAGCCGGGCACAGTGCTCACGCTGTAAATCCCAGCATTCTCGCGGAGGCCAAGGACGGGTGGATGCAACGAGCTTCAGGAGATCAAGACCATCTGGCTAACCGACTGAAACCGTCTCTACCCTGAAAATACAAAAAAATAGCCGCGGCGCTGGGCGGTGCCTGTACACTCCAGCTACTCGGGAGCTGAGGCAGAAAGAATGGTGTCGAACCTGGAGCGGAGCTGCAGTGAGCAGAACCGCCCGCCAACTGTGCCTGGCGACAGAGTGAGACTCCATCTCAAAAAAAAACGAAATTCAAAAAAAGAACAGAGAGGGGAATCACTGTGAAGAAAGACTGCACATCGAACCTGTGAAACGCTTAAGCAAAGCATTTAGGGCCAAAGCCTGTCCACTGTGAGAGATGATGGCCAAGCGCATTCGCATCTCAGAAAGGAAGCAGATGTCAATACTTCAGTCGGCCCACCCAGCTCCCATAACCTGATGGACAGCGGCAATGAGGTCTACACAATAAAGGGACCTAGCTTGACGTTACACAAACTTCAGACATGTTCAGCCTCCTCTGAGCACAAACACAAAAAAATGAGTTCTTTGAATATGTTAAACCCAGACCCAAGTAGTGTAAGAGTAACCCAGCAACCGCCTGTATACCTGCAACAGAAGCAGAACACAGGAGGCACTCAAAACTATTCGAGCAAGACGCAGATGTAACCGGGCCCTAGGGTCCATGTGCTGCACCCACCATGACATACTTCAGGAATATACAACCCAAAACCCATGCGGGCGGGTGTCCGGTGGCCCTGCCTGTAATCCC